ATGTGCATTTCTCACATGATCCCAGGTGATGGGACCGCACTTGGAGAACCACTGCCCAGTGCCCTGTGCACAGTAAAGGCTCAACAGGGGGTAGAGAATACTGTGATTTATTTCCTTTTGTGATGGAGTCAACACGTAAAGAATCTAGGACAGTACCTGGCACATAGAGTAAGTTCGATAAGTATTATTTTTTGTTATTATTGACATGTGAGTCTGCTTACAGCTTATTGGGGGAAGTAATGAACCAATGAAACAGAAAGAGAACAGTGCTAGAGAGGGGATGATTGACGGAGAAACTGTCCATTTGTCTATTCGCTCAGCCAGTCTCTTCTGGCCCCTTTCTATGCCAGGCATTGCTGTGAGCATGGACCATAGAACAGTGAACAGCCCAGCAAGGCCTGTCCTCAAGATTCAATCTCTGGGTTCCAGCCCCATGGCCGAGTGGTTAAGTTCTCGCGCTCTGCTTCGGCAGCCCAGGGTTTCGCTGGTTTGGATCCTGGGCGTGGACATGGCGCCGCTCATCAGGCCATGTTGAGGCGGCATCCCACATGCCACAACTAGAAGGACCCACAACTAAAATATACAACTACGTACCGGGAGGCTTTGGGGAGAAAAAGCAAGATTTAAACTCTGGCTCCAAGGAGGACAAAGGCCAGAGTAGCCAGAAAGGCTTCCAGGGGGAGGTGAGGCTTGAACCGGGCTGTGCTGGAAAGAAGGGTGCGATTGAAAGTGGCAGAGGAGGGAGGGCTTCTGGAAAGTCCCTGAGATCAGGGCCCCTTGAACGTACACACACGCGCACCACAGGTGTGCAGTGCACAGGGAAGGGTGGGTCTCTCCAAGGGGCCTGCAGGGCTCCAGCCCCAGAGCCCGGGGAAGGGGCGGCCTGAGCCCCAACGGGAACTGGATTAGTCTGCTCTGGCTGCCGTACAGCATAGCACGGACGGGGCCCTTAAACAACAGACACTTGTTTCTCACGATTCTGGAGGCTGGAGGGCCTTGAAGGAGGTGTCTGCAGGCTTGGTTTCTGGTGAGACCTCTTCCTGGCTTCAGACGGCCACCTTGTTGCTCAGTCCTCACGTGGCCTTTCCTCTGTGCGCACACACTCCTGGTGTCTCTTCCTTTTGTTATAAGGACCTGAGTCCTATTAGATCAGGGCCCCACCCTCATGACCTCCTTTAACCTTAATTACCTCCTTAAAGGGCCTGTCTCCAGATACAGTCACACTGGGGTTAGGGCTTCAACCTAACAATTTTGGGGGACATGATTCTGTCCATATGGGGTGACAGGGGAGTGCTCGACTTGGGCTCAGGCCTAGCCTGCTAGCCGGCTCTCCACCTGTCCCCTGAGGCTGGGTCAGAGCAGCCATAACCCAAGAGGCCCTTGGCTGGCAGCGGCCCCACGTGGGGACTCACCCCACACCTCCCCCCAGCCCTCTCTTCCAGATCTCCGTTACTCTTCCCAGCAGTTGGCGGCCTCTTGGGTAAATCATTCATCAGAAGATGCTCTCCAAAGCATGGCCACATGCTGTTGTCATGATTTCATTTTGATTATTCATATTAGTGGAAGCGCTGCTGCCTAGCCCCAGGTGGTAATTAGTGTAAGTGTTGAGTTGAGGCCAGGTCAACATGGCGGTGGCCGGTGGGTTCCTGCAACAGCCACCGCGGCCTCAGCTCAGCAGACCAGTCCTCCCACGGGGCATGCTGCAGGCAGCCCCACCAGAGCCAGTCCAGAGCAGCAGCGAGACCTCTGGGGGAGCCATGGGAGCACCCCTCAGCACCTGACTTTCCAGTGGCCAGCGTGGCCCTCCTGTCCTGTGCAGGCCCACAGGGGAGCTATGCTCACCTTCTCCCTCTCTGGCACCTTCCCCTGCCCCGGCCTCCCTGGGCACACAGGCCCCCCTCCACCACCTGTGCAGCCCAGGGACCACCCCCCAGGCCATGTGCACAGGGAGCTGAAGAGAGGGCCCCTCTGCCTGGGACTTGGCACAGGCTGGGCTGGAACGCTCAGGACATCCTCCGGGCGAGGAGCCTGGTGCCCTCCACCAAGACTCAGTGAGCAGAGGGGACAGATGAGACGCAGAGCCAGCAGGAGGTTGTTTTTTGGGAATTCCCTTTTCTCTCTCTGTCTCTCCCCCCCAGGTCATGACCCCACATTTAATTGAGCGTACTTTTAATGCGCTTTTCCTTCTGCTGCTTCCACGAAGGGGGCAGGGCTGGGGCAGGCACGGCCAGCGCGTTTATTAACCTTCCTTCCACAAAGCGCTCTTTTCCCTATAGAAATCTCCTTCCCGCTGATTCCTTACGTGTCGGGAAGCAGAGCGTGACATGTTAAAAGCCGTCTTGATAGTATTTGATATTCAGTACTAACAGCTCACCACCTCGGAGGAGGGGCTTCCCCCTCCCCAGGGAGGGGAGGTGATCTGCATACTGGATGTGCCAGGACAGTGGGTAATTTGCATTAAGCATCCAGAAATTCTCTGCTTGCAATCTGTCACCCTTCACTGGGTTTTCATTTTATAACCTTCACAACATAAGGAGGAGAGCAAGAGGCAGAGAGAATGCAGGAGCCACACCCCCACGGGAGCTGGAGAGGAAGCCTGGGCTGAGCGGCAGTGGTCACTGCAAAGAGGGGCCCTGGTCAGAAATGCCAGGCAGAAGACTCCAGCAGAGGCAGCTGCCACTCACAGGATCAGCGAGCCTACAGAGCCCCAAGACCATGGGGTGGGGTGCAGTCGCATGACCAGAAGCCGGAGGTGGGGCTGCCCTGAGCACAGCTCATCTCTCCAAGAGCCAAGTTCAGACTCCATGGGGGTTCTCCATGAGAATACCTGCTCTGGCTTTGCATGGAGCCTCTGCCCAAAGGCCCCCGTATGTAGAAGCACCACCAACGGTGAGCTCTGGAGGTGTCTCTGCTCCCAGCCTTGTGGTACCTGCAGATCTTAAGCTTAGGACTGAACTGTGTGTTGGCCATCCTGACTTCATGTGAGGAACTCCTGGGGAGCTCGAAAAAAAGCCTGGGCACCAGCCCAGACCGAGGACATCAGAATCTCCGTGCTGAGGCAGGGGACGGACAGCTGGGACAAGCCATCTGCATGTGCAGCAGTGCGGGGCAGGGGAGGGGCAGGGTGGCTGGGGGGGATCCTCGAGTCCTGCCATCTGGCACCCCCAGACTCTGTTTTCTCATCTAGAAAATGAGGATTCTGGAAAAAGGTCCTCAGCCAAGGGGAACCCGGGCACAGGGACTGGCTGGAGGTCCCTTAGCCCTCACTCCTGCCTCAGCCAGGCCCTTCTGCTGTTATCTGATTTCCATATTGGATTTCCAGGTAGAGGTTTCTCTGAGAAAAGGGCTCCATAGCTCTGATGAGGTTGGCAAAACCCTAGCCTGTCCCTTCCCTCCAGCCGCCGGGGACAAGGTAGGCCTGAGCCAGCAGGAGCCCAGGCCTCTTGGGGCCGGTGGAGAATTCCCCAAGGGATCCCGAGGCAGAGGCACTGCCCACCTGCAGAAAGGTGGGCTGTCAACTCCACGCCCCCATCACGTGCCCATCACGTAGCGCTCTGAACAGACACACACGACTTCAAATCCAGGCCCCTCGACTAGCTCGAGGACAGCGCCACTCAGCAACCCCACCCCTCCCAATGACCCGCCAGAATCCAGGACCCGCTGGGAGCAGGGCTGTGGGCCCCAGCGCTGGTGAAGGTGCAGGAAGAAGAGCCCCGAGCCTCTGGAGGAGCCTTGTCAGAATGGAGCGGAGGGTGAGGACCGCAAATGAACACCTAGGCAGGTGCCCAGAGAAGGAAAGCAGCGCCTGCAAGGGGTTCCTGGCAGATCACAACCCTCACACAGGGGCTTTTCTCTAAAAAGCACTGAACTTCTGCACACAGGTGCGACAAGGAACAGAGGCATGACTGGATGGCCGCCGCGGAGCTCTCCCCCCAGCGTTCCAAGGCTGAGCCATCCACAGATTCCACAGCACGAAGCTTCCTTCCCCAAGCCCAGTTCCCATAGCATCAGCCAAGCCGCAGGGCAAGGCCAGCATCGCCCGCTGCGTGTCACCTTCATCACCGTGACTGCTGTCATCGCCACCATCACCATCATCACTTTTAATGGTTGTGACAACAGCTGTTCTTTGTCGGGTACACGTGAAGTGACAGGCAGGTTCATCAGGTTTCCGCCTGGCCACCTGTGAGGCAGATGCTATTATTTTCCCATTTTACAGATGAGGAAACTGGGGCTCAGAGAGGTTTAGTGACTTGCCCAAATTCACAGAGCAAGTAAAGACCAAAACCTGGACTCAAATTCTGAATCCAACCCAGCTCCCCCCGCTGTGTAGCCTGTGTAGACTGCGTCCTTGTGTGTCTGCATTCTGGAGCCCCTCACAGTGCAAGAACAGTTGTGACGGTTCTCCCCCTGGAGTCCATGTGTGAGAAGCTCAGCCAAAGGAGAAAGGAGATTGTTCTTGCTTTGTCCAAGCCACCGGCCTCTCCTGAGCGTGACCCGGTGCCCTGCTCCTCCTCCCAGGCCACCTGCTTCCACCGTGGTCTGGGAGGAGCTCCCTCCCAGTGGCCTGGGTCCCTCCTGGAGCCCCGGGCATTGGCTTCAGCCCCTGGGCTGTAGCTCAGCCTCCCAGCACCTCTCCCTCCCGGTCCTCGCCTCCTTTCTCCTTCACTCCGGGATCCCTTGAAGATCGTCCCTGGTGCACTTGGACTTTGGGAAAACAAAGCACATCTCTGGGCGGTCCACTCCCCAGGCTGGACCGCAGGGAAGGGAGGAGAGGAGGCAGAGGAAGAACGCAGAGCTCCCGGGGAGAGTGGGGGTCTGGTGGGGCAGCCTGGTCCTCTCTCCTCCCTCCTCCCCGCCTCAAGGGCCTCAGCTGGTCCCTAGAGCAGCCTCTCAGCAGAGAGGGGGCTGCTGCAGCTCTGGGAGTGCCTGGGTCCCAGCCCTCGCAGGACCTCCCCGTGCAGCCCGTGGCCTCTGACCACCCCCTGCCTCTCTCCCCGCAGTCCACGGCATCAAGTGGACCTGCAGCAACGGGAACAGCAGTTCAGGCTTCTCGGTGGAGCAGCTGGTGCAGCAGATCCTTGACAGCCACCAGACCAAGCCGCAGCCGCGGACCCACAATTGCCTCTGCACTGGCAGCTTGGGTGAGTGGGGCTCCCGGGGGGCAGGTGGGCACGACAGGCAGGGGGGCTCGGCCAGGCAGTGGGTGCGGCTCTCCTCCTCGGGGGTGGCCGTGGTGTCCATCAAGGGGAGAGGGCTCAGCCAGGTGACAGCACGGCACCCGGGACAGACTCATTCTCGTCCTGCCCCATGGGGCTGGTGGGACAGCCCACTCTGGGCAGGGGAGAACAATTTCCAGAGCGTCAGCTCCCTCTAGGAGTGGGGGCAGCAGAGTTGGGGAGTGCACGGAGTCGGGGCCCCGGGCCTCGTCCACCCGCTGCAAGTGCCCCCCAGGCCCCACCTTCTTGGGCGTCGTCAGCAGGAGGCCCAGGTCCCTGGGCAGTGGGCCGACACGGGCTTTTCAAGGAGATCAGCCCTGAGTCAATGGGACCACTCAAGTTCAACCTCCTTCTTTAACCCCTGTCTCCTCCAAGAATGGAAAGCGTCCTGCGCTCTCCATCCTATTGTGTCCATTTTTCTGATAATGGTACTTGCTCTTTGAAATGTGCATTCTTCACTCCCTCTGCTGCCTTAATTAGAGATTTCCATTAAGGGGTCATGTCACTTCTCTGTGAAGTCTTCAAGCATTTAGGAATCTTGGTGGAGAGGCTGTAACAGGATCGGGAAAGAATTCACTCTTTTATCAAAAGCAAAGTGACCCTTATCAGATGGGGTGAAAAGAATGACGGAGTGGGAGAGACAGGGAGAGAGGAGCCGTCCTGGCCGCCTGGGGGAAGAGCCCTGATGGAGACTGGCCAGAGCTCGGACACACTCGGCGCCTGAGGCTGTTTTCTTCTCTGCCCCTGAACTGTCGGTTTGGGCTCTGTCCTTGCTCAGGTTGTAGAAGGATTTTACCCCACAGACAGCTGCCGACAGACCCGGACTAGCTAAATGGAGGTGGTGGCCCCAAATACCTTTCTGCCTCTGGAGCAAAGTCTAGAACCCTCTTTGGTCACTGTCTGGAGGAGCGGGCTTCCTGAAAAGCAGGCGTGGAAAGTCTCAGGGAAGGGGGAAGGGCCCCACCACCCTCCGAGGCTGAGCCCCTCTGGCAGGAGCCGCTCCAGTGATGGCATCTGCCTTGAAGGTGGAAAGGATTTTCCTGGCGGATGACATTCTCTCCGCCTTCTCTTCCCAACCTCCTATGTCCTGGGTGCTACTATTACTATGAGAAAAGGGCATCAAGGAACGATCCCCTGGTCTGGAGGATGGTTACGCGGGGCATGCGAAAGCCCAAGTTTGGGGTATGTGGGTCCAAGACCCTGAGTGTCTGTTACCTGCCAGCCCCAAGGGGTCAAGGGCCTGCCTGGACTCCCAGGCTGGACTTTGCTATGTCCCAGCTGCTCAGGAACAGGGTCCACTGCACTCCTAGCTCTGACTCTCTCTTTGTGTGTGCATGTGTGTGTACACGTGTGTGTGTGTGCGCATGCGTGTTGTGCTTCTGACCTCCGCAGGAGCGGGCAGCAGCGTGCACCACAAGTGTAACAGTGCCAAACACCGCATCATCTCGCCGAAGGTGGAGCCACGGACTGGGGGGTACGGGAGCCACTCGGAGGTGCAGCACAATGACGTGTCCGAGGGCAAGCACGAGCACAGCCACGGCAAGGGCTCGAGCCGCGAGAAGAGGAACGGCAAGGTGGCCAAGCCGGCCTTGCTGCACCAGAACAGCACCGAGGTCTCCTCCACCAACCAGGTGGAGGTCCCCGACACCACCCAGAGCTCCCCTGTGTCCATCAGCAGTGGGCTCAACAGCGATCCCGACATGGTGGACAGCCCCGTGGTCACAGGCGTGTCCAGCATGGCGGTGGCCTCCGTGATGGGGAGCTTGTCCCAGAGCGCCACAGTGTTCATGTCTGAGGTCACCAACGAGGCCGTGTACACCATGTCCCCCACCGCTGGCCCCAACCACCACCTCCTCTCACCCGACGCCTCTCAGGGCCTCGTCCTGGCCGTGAGTTCCGACGGCCACAAGTTCGCCTTCCCCACCACGGGCAGCTCGGAAAGCCTGTCGATGCTGCCCACCAACGTGTCCGAAGAGCTGGTCCTCTCCACCACCCTCGACGGTGGCCGGAAGATTCCAGAAACCACCATGAACTTTGACCCCGACTGTTTCCTCAATAACCCAAAGCAGGGCCAGACGTACGGGGGCGGGGGCCTGAAAGCCGAGATGGTCGGCACCAACGTCCGGCACTCGCCACCAGTGGAGAGGGGCTTCAGCTTCACCGCCGTCCTCACCAAGGAGATCAAGACCGAGGACACCTCTTTCGAGCAGCAGATGGCCAAAGAAGCGTACTCCTCCTCCGCGGCGGCTGCGGCCTCCAGCTCCCTCACCCTCACTGCGGGCTCCAGCCTCCTGCCGTCAGGCGGGGGCCTGAGTCCCAGCACCACCCTGGAGCAGATGGACTTCAGTGCAATAGACTCCAACAAGGACTACACATCCAGCTTCAGCCAGACCGGCCACAGTCCCCACGTCCACCAGACCCCCTCCCCCAGCTTCTTCCTGCAGGATGCCAGCAAACCCCTCCCCATCGAGCAGAATGCCCACAGCAGCCTGAGTGACTCTGGAGGCACCTTTGTGATGCCCACGGTAAAAACAGAGGCCTCGTCACAAACCAGCTCCTGCAGCGGCCACGTGGAGACCCGGATAGAGTCCACTTCCTCCCTCCACCTCATGCAGTTCCAGGCCAATTTCCAGGCTATGGGGGCAGAAGGGGAGGTCACCATGGAGACCTCACAGGTGGCTGAAGGGGGTGAGGGCCTGATCAAGTCTGGGGAGCTTCAGGCCTGTAGCTCTGAACACTACCTGCAGCCCGAGCCCACCGGGGTGATCCGCAGCGCCGGGGGCGTCCCCATCCTCCCGGGCAATGTGGTGCAGGGACTCTACCCCGTGGCCCAGCCTGGCCTCGGCAATGCCTCCAACATGGAGCTCAGCCTGGACCACTTTGACATCTCCTTCAGCAACCAGTTCTCTGACCTGATCAACGACTTCATCTCCGTGGAGGGGGGCAGCGGCACCATCTACGGGCACCAGCTGGTGTCGGGGGAGAGCACGGCCCTCTCGCAGTCGGAAGACGGGGCCCGCGCCCCCTTCACCCAGGCGGAGATGTGCATCCCCTGCTGCAGCCCCCAGCAGGGGAGCCTGCAGCTGAGCAGTGCCGAGGGCGGGGCTGGCACCATGGCCTACATGCACGTCGCCGAGGTGGTCTCAGCCGCCTCGGCCCAGGGCACCCTGGGGATGCTGCAGCAGAGCGGACGGGTGTTCATGGTGACCGACTACTCCCCAGAGTGGTCGTACCCGGAGGTAAGCTGCTGCTGCCCTCACCTCCCCACCCGCCTCACCTGCCCACCTGCCAGCTCACTTGATGTGGCATCCCTTTCAGTGAGGCACCGGATCATACAGACAAAGCTGTCCCCGCCCTCTGTCCCCACTTGAAATACCTCCGCCTCTCTGGTGCTCAGTCTTCACTGGAGCAAGTAGCGTTAAAGTCAGGGGTCTCCTTGGAGGCCGGGTGGCCCTCCCAGCTCCGACCAGAGCAGTCTGCCGTCACCTGCTTATCGGTGAAGAGTCCTATGTTTTGCTTTGGTTTGTTTTTCCCTTTGGAGAGAGGATCCTGCTGAAAGTGCCATTTGAAAATCATCACCATGGATCATCCATATCCATTGGTCTTGATTTACTTCACCAAACAAAGGAAAAACAAACAAATCCCCGTCAAATTGAGAGGGGGGGTACAAAGCATCTGAATAGTCTTCCACGAGAGTTTCTTGGATAAATCCAGCCTCTGCAAAATCGAAGGCGTGTTTACGACCCAGGATCTCCCACCTGTGCCCCCCACCCCACCCCTGGCTGTCTCAGTTCCCAGGGGCTGAGATCTGATGTTGAGAATCACTGCTCCAAAGCCCAGGACAGCAGAAAAACCCAGGTCTCGCCACGCCATGGTGGCACAAATGTTTAAGGAAGGAACCCATGCTCTTTCTCTGAAGTAGAATGGCCCAGGAGGGACACAGAGGGGCCCGAGCTTTCCGTAATGCCCTGCTGCACCAGGGCACGCTCCCCGACTGCTCCGAGCCTACCTGCCAGGTGCCTGGGGAGCAGCCCAGATCAGCACTTCCTCCCTGGGAGTGGCTGCCCACAGCTCCCGGGGTTCCACTGCCACGTTCCATAGACTCTAGGGCGGGGGCTGCTGCCGGGGACACCAGGGAAGGGCACTGCTGAAAGACCCGGAATCTCACGAGGTGTCTTAAGGCAGTGATGCAGACACAGGCAGTGCGGGATGCTGGCCAAAGCCCACGCACGTTCCTGACCCAGGCACGGGCAGGGGCTCCTGGGACGATGCCCGAGTGGAGCCTGGGTGAACGGGGTGTCCTGAAAAGTGAAGCACTTCTCAGAGCCACTCTCTGCTTCAGAGTCTCCCCTGGGCCTGGTGAAGGGGACAGTGAGGCCCAGTGGCGGAGGGTGGGTCTCAGGGGTGCTCCTGGGGGTCGATCCTGGCTCGCCAGGACTCGTCCTCCCTGTGCCTCAGTTTCCTCACCTATAAGATGGGGGTGGTAACACTACCTACTCAGGGCAAGGTGTGAGCTTGGTAAAGTCTTTGGCCCTGAGCAAGTAATCGGTGGACATTGGTTATTATTCTGCAGCCATCGCAGCTCATGACTCACTGTGTCCCTTTTCGAGTCCTCTTGCCGTGGCCGTGGCAAAGAGGCGGCTCGCTGGTTGACTGTGTACAGCCTCGGAGGGGTCACCTAGATGGTGGGCCTCAGTGTCGCAATCTTGACCAGGAGGCTCATGCCTCCTTCACCTCCTTCCTTTATGGCAAAGCTAAGATACAACCTGTGGACGAGTGCCAGCTCTCAGATCCACATCAACCCAACTAGTGGCCCAGCCTCCTGAAGGGAGCAGCCTGGAATGGGCAGGGGTCTGGCAGAGCAGCTTCTGCCCTGCACTGGGTCTGTGTACAGCCTGTTTGTAAAAGTCCTCGAGTGTCCAGAGGCAGCTGCCCCGTGTGGGGAGGAGCCTGGGGCTGGGGCTGGACAGTGTGGATTCAAATCCTGGCCCCACGCTCTCTAGCTGGAGGCCCGGAGCAAGGCACCTGCCTTCCTGTCTCTAGAATTGGGGCAGTGATGGCACTCACCTCGCCAGGTTGTTGTGGGGACTAACAAGAAAGTGCTCAGGCAGCACCTGTCTCTTCCGTCCACCTCCACCTTCCCTCCTCACTGGCCTCCCAAGATTCCGGAAGATTCCTACTGGGCTTTCTCTTGGTGTGACTCAGTGTGACCCCGTCAGTGACACTGAGCTCAGTGGTATTCTCCCAGCACCCACTGCGCTTCCCCTTAGGGTGAAAGGTCAGCTCTGCCCAGCAGCTTGCCCCTCACGGGGCAATTTTGGGGGGTTAGGGAGGGAGGCCTGGGTTTGGGGTGCAGTGAGGTCAGAGCTGGGAGTCGGAGTGCTGTCTTTTGGTCCTGACTCTGAGACCTGGCTCCCTGGGCCTCAGTTTCCTTATTTGTAAATGGCCAAGAGGGGTGGCCTCGAGGCCCCACAAGCCCTAGGACCTAGAAGATCTGGTCCTCGGGAGCCTGGGTCCTGGAGCTGGAGGATGGAAGGAAGAACCCTCTTTCCCTGGGCCTTGGCCTGGGCGTGCAGGTCCCTGGACCAGTCTAGGCTTGCACTCTGGCCTCCTTGGGCCTGGGGGCACTAGTGAGGGGCCCGTGGCAGGCCTGACCCTCTGTTCCATACACAGTACTGCTGGCAGATCCCTCAGCTGTACCTTGGAGCCAGTTCAGCAGCTTGCCACGTGAGGGCAGCACAGGAACGGGAGAGGGAGGATGGTCCGGGCGCCTGGCAGAGGGAGCGTCCAGCCTGGTTTTCCAGAAGTTCTGGATGCTTCCAGCTCCCCGAAACAAAAGTAGCTCAAATTCGATTTGATTTGGATGCCACCAGCTGGGCCCTTTGGAGCCAAATGGCCCCCAGGGGAGACCTCTGCAGAGGCCCCAAGGGCTCTGAGTGGCCACTTCCTCCTCGGTGTCCTCCTCTCCCAGCCCTGTCACTGTCCCCAGTCCAGCAGCAGGGGCCACTCCCTCATGGGTTCTCCTGCAGGAGACAGCATCTTCTCTCCTGACCCTTCTCTCCCCTCTCAGCCCCCTGGCTGGTATGCTTGCCCCTTGCCCTCTCCCCTTTTCTGCGGGCAAGAGGCCTGCTTGCCAACCGTGTCAGGAGCCCGGTTCTAGCCAGGCTCTGCCAAGCTTGTGGAGGCCTCTGCAGCAGGACACATAGGCCTGGGGAAGCTTCCTAGTCTGTAATATGGGGTCGGGCTAAACAGTTGCTCAATGCCCTCACCCAGCTTTCAAATTGGATGTTGCCCAGCCACCCACTTTGCAGGAATGCTAAGGCGGGGCCATCTGCTCCCATTTCTCTTATGCTCTGTCCACCTCTTCACCTCCGGCTGCAACTGGTCACCAACACACATACACATACACACACACACACACACACACACACACACACACACACGAGGTGCCTCTGGGCCCCAGGATCTGCCCCAGGTGCATCAGAAATCTGAGTCCTTTATCTCAAGACTCCCAGGGCGCAGAGACCTCAGATGCCCCCACCTCTCCCCCTAACCCCTCTGTGTTATCTCCCTCCACTGACACTCCTGCTGCACTGGGCAAAGGAGGCTGCAATTAGAGCCATCAGGTGCCCGCATCACAAAGATTCAGCACAGCCAGGGGAGCGTTGCCATGGTGACCGTCCCTTGAACGGATGGATGCTGAGCCCATCCTGCAGTGGTTTCCATGGAGAAGGTCCTGATGTTCTCCAGTAATTTCTGCAGCCCTTTGTTCCTCACAGCAGCCCTAGCTTCGTGCCAGCAACTGTTGATTGGGGTTATTATTTTTTTCCTTTTTTCTCGCATGGTAACTGTCTGTGGCTTTTGAAGCCACTGCTCTTCCACTTCCCAGGATCGAGGGAGAATCGTGTCCTGAGCTGGCCTCTGGTACTCCTAGACATCCCAAAGTCGGGTTCTACCTCTGCCATGGGGCACACCTCCCAGCCCGGTACCTACTCCCAGCCCGTGGGCCCAAGCATGCCAGCCGCATCCCGCCACTCCAACAGACCTCCAAATCCCTCTATGGAGCCATATATCAGAACCAGGGAGTGTTAAGGCCAGGGGGCACCTAGAAATCAAATGCTACCCAGAGAGGTTGGGCTACTTGCCTGAGGACACACAGCTACTGAGGGGCAGGGGCAGGCCTCCTGCTTTGGGCTCCCAGTGCTGAGCTCTCTCCACTGCTCCCCAAACTTTGATTGCCTAGCAGGGAAGCGATTTCTCCAAAGCCCTCCCAACCCAGAGGAAGGCCCTCCGAGAGCACAGGTGGGATGCATGCTAGTCTGGGAGAACCCCTTCAGTAGTGGAATCCTCTCTTCTGTGCTGGGCTGTGGAGAAGCCATCTCGCCTCCTGGAAACACCCACTCCAGATACGGATGCCCAAGACCAGCCCTGGGCCGGGTCAGGGCTCCAGGAACATTGTAAGGAGTCTCAGGAGCAAGCCCCGTGTTGAGGCCGGGGGTCCATCCAGGGCAGGGATGGGCCAGTGCCAAGGAGAGGCCACCCAAGAACTGGTGACTGAGCAGGAGAGCGTCTCGCTGGCACAGGGGAGCAGCCTGGGGGCTGGAGGCTGGCCTCTCCGGCCTAGAGAGGTTGGGGAAGAAGTTGTCTGTGGTCCTCACTCCTCACGCCCTCCATCACCCCAGTCTCAAGTAGGCACCACTCTCGGCCTTACCCGGCCTGGACACTAGGTGGCGCTCTCCACTCTGTCCTGACAGCTCCTGGCTCCCTGCTGGGAAAGGTGGATGGAGCCTGGGATGGGCCCACCAAGGAGAGCCAGAGAGGCCAGCATCCCCACACTCTGCACCCCCAGGACAGGCCTCCCCGACTCAGTAACTGGGCACTCCCCTCGGCTGTCTGAGCCTTGAGTAGGGCAATTACACCTCCTCGTCCACACCGGAAAGGATAGAGTGCAGGAGGTGCTATTAATCACTAAAAGGGGATGGTGGCTATAAAGCAGGACCACCGGGGGCACCGGGACATAAGGCCACCCTCCTCGCTCGGGGGCACATCCTGGCTGGTTCCAGCAGGAGGTCAGGGAGCACCTATCCTGTGCTCTCCTGCTCCTGGGCGCCTCGGGATCCCTGGGGGTAGGGCCCTCTCCCCTTGAGCTGAGCAAAGTCCTCTGAGCCCCCTCCCCCATCCTCTCCCCACTCTATTCCCTCACCCCTGCCCTGTGGGAGCAGCTACAGCCCCAGCCAGGCTGCAAGCCATCGGTGCCTGCGTGAGTGGTGTGTGTGCACAGTGAGGGCCCCTCTAGCCGTGTGGGCAGCAGCACAGACAAGTGCCCTCGATGGCTCAGCCTGGAGGCAGGGGGCTGATGCTCAGTTCCACCCTGTCCCCAACCCTTAGCCCTAAGGCTTACTCCAGCCCAGGGAAATCTCTGAGCCCCTCCAACTCTGAGCCTTCCTTCTCCATTTTTCTATTTCTGCTATCTTTCTCATTGCCTTTTTCATCCATCTCCCTACTGCCCCCTCATCTCTACCATACCCTGGGGATCCTGGGTCTCTCCTCATTTCCCCACCAGAACTTCCGGTCCCTGGGGTGACACTAAGATGCTCAGGCCAGTTTTCAAAACTCGAAGTTCCCTCCATCTGTCCACAGCAAATGACAGAGAAGGCCCCCTGGCTCCCCTCCTCTTCCTTCCAGGGGTCCCGCCTGGCCAGTTCTCAGGTGCATCATGGGCTGAAAAGGTTTGAAAAACTCTGTGCTCCCTTCTGCCTGGAACTGAAAGTTGCACAGGAGAGGGTCTGGGGTCAGAACTGCCTGCCCCTGTGCTGGATGCCAGCTAAGGAAGGCAAGGAGCATCTGGGGTCCCCCAAGGGACCAGGAGGGCTGCAGGCCCCCTCTTTCTGCTGCAATCCTGAAACAGTGGTTCTCTAAAGCCAGGGCTTATTGGAACCGGGAATCTGCACGTTCAACAAGCACGTGGGGTGGGGTGCAGACTGTGGTCTGAGCAGTGCAGCCGTGAGGCCTACGTCCCTCGGTCCTCCTCTGTGGCTCACGCTCGCCTCTCACGTCTGTTCCCTCCAGGGAGGTGTGAAGGTTCTCATCACAGGCCCATGGCAAGAAGCCAGCAATAACTACAGCTGCCTGTTCGACCAGATCTCAGTGCCTGCGTCCTTGATTCAGCCCGGCGTGCTGCGCTGCTACTGCCCAGGTGAGAAGGCCGCCGCCTGCCGCAGATGTGGGTCCTGGAACACTGGACTCGGGCTTGGCCTGGGGAGGACCCTTGGCAAGTGGCATCGTTACTCTGGGCCTCACTTTCCTCTGCTGTGAAGGAGCGGGTCCTGGATCGGGCCATTATAATGTCATCTTCTGGGGCTTGTGGACCCCGTATCAGACAGGGACACGGGCATGCTCAGCTGGGATTCTGAGGAGAACGTGATGAAGGGACTACTTAGACAACCAGTAAGCCAGGCTGACACGCCCAGGACTGGCCATAGCGGGACCCTGGACCTGAAGGGTTCCACGAACTGGTGAGAGTGGGCAGGCCAAGGGCCCACCGGGAGCTGCATCTGGGGTCGGAGGCCGTCTCTCCTCCCGCCCATGCCTCCAGGGTCAGTCCACAGGGTCAGTGCCCCTGGGGCACAGAGCAGGTCAAAGAGGGATGGAGAAGGCCTGGCGGGCGGCAGGGGATGGGGGTGCCAAACTAAGAATAATCTGCACAAACTCCTTCAAGAATTTGAAGCAATCCACCCCGTGCCCGGGAAAGGGCACCTGCACGTAATCCTCTTCCAGTCTCAAGCAGAAGCCCTCTGTGCTGTCTCTGAGGCTCTGATCTTCGTCCTCCTCACTCAGGGCTTCAGCATCACAAACTTAGCTTGGTATCCCTGTCTGGTCAACTTGTCCTTGACCTTTGGCCATGATTACCTCCCCACTGGCCTGTCAGTGCCATGAGGGTAGGGTCTGTATCTTTCTTAGTCACCATGTGTCCCGAGGCCTCGCAAAGTGGCTGACACATCACAAGGAGGAGATGGATATTTGTGAGGGGAGCTGTGTCTAGAGCCCATGTTTTCTGTTCCCTGGGTGGTGTTGGGAAGACCTCTGGCTGACCCCTCGCATGCATCCTTAGCTCCAGGGGTGGCTTATCCAGCTAGCCCAGGCAACAAATGAAGAGGAAGACGATGGGGGGTTGGCGAGGGCAGAGGGATCCTCATGTTGTCTGAAGCCAGGAGGACTCCAAAGGAGAGAGCATGCTCCCCGTGGAGGGCTAGGGTTGGGAAGAGAAGTCGGGGCAGGAGTCCCTGGGCAGGAGCAGAACTGGCCAGTGCCAGGTGCCAGGTTCCACCTGAAGTGGTCCTGCTTGAGCCTTGCACCACCCCAGTTGTCTGCCTCCCCCTGCACCATCCCCCCAAGCCTGGCCTCTTGTGCTCACATGGAACATTCTTCCTTCTCTCTCTCCATCTCCCCATGCAGCCCACCAGAGCAGAATGCTCTAGGGCTGGGCTCACATGCTCCGCCTCCACTGGAGCCCAGCATCTCCTTCACCACAAACGTCCCAGGGAGCCAGGGCTGGGGCCCGTGGTGGCCTTTCCTGCTGGCCCTGCCCCCACCAGCTGCCTGGCTGGCTCCAGAGGACCCACTCAGCCCCTATTGCTCCCAGCAGCCCTGCTCAGCCTGGAGCGCAGCCATCCCAGATGCCAGCCAGGCTGTCAGCCTATCGCAGCTCAGAGCTATGTGTGGCTACTGCAGCTCCCCCACCCCCACCGACGGGGTAGGGGGACAGGGCAGCATGTTATTAAACTGTCCACTTATCACCTGCTGCTGGCACAGGACTCTCCTGGTCTATAAATAGAAGCCACTTCCTGTACCTGGTTCTTGCTTGGCTGAGGACCCAGACCTTGCCTGTCCTAAGTTATTTGACCCCTCCAAAAAAATGACTGGCCTTTGCGTGCCCTCTGGATGATGTCCCAGGCCAGGACCTGGCAACTCCTGGGGGCTGAATCAGTCACACCACAGCACATCCCAGATCAGCCAGTTACCATCTGGCTGGTCAGTGGTTGACCTCTCTGGGCCTCAATTTCTACATCTTTATAAACCAGCTGCCAGGTGGGCCAGAGCATGAGATGGGGGAAGGTTCATGAAGCACTGGGTCACATGCTCGATTCCTGAAGGGGTTCTATGAGTGAGGCCTTCATTCTTTCTGTCCCAAGTGGGAGTGAGGAGAGGGGACCAGGGCTGTTTGGGTCTCGGCAGGCAGTTCTCCTAGTCTCAGAGCATTTCTGGGTCTCCAGAGCTGGCAGGAGAGTCTGCCCAGGCCACCGTGTCTCCCAGTCGTTCAGACTCCTCTAACACTGCATCTTGGACCCAGGGATGAGCAGCCACGGGCTCAGGCAGACTGAGAGCCAGGTCTCACTGCTAGAGCACCATTCTGTTCTACAGCCAACCCCTTTGGACGTCTCTGTCTTAAGGCCCAAATTGAAACACGTCCCTCTGGAAGACAGCACTGGATACGTGCACACCCGCATTCATTCATTCATTTCTTCATTCATCAAATGGTTTGCCAGGCACTGGTAGGCACCTGAAATGGAGCAAAGCACAAGACGCAGCCCCGAACCCTAATCCTGACCCTGGGGGACGATACTGGCTGCTCTGGACCTCTTCCCTGGGTCTCCCAAGGGCTTGGGGAAACTGGAGCTGATCCTGAAGAAGGAATACTTGAGGCCAGAACTGAGAAGAAGGGCTCAGAGGGCTGTGAGCACAAGGCTGGCCACCTTAGGGTCTGGAAATGACATGGGAGGAGGGGGCCCAGGGAGTGAGTTGGGGGAGCGGCAGAGGGGGCACAAATGGTCGCTGCCCACCTGCCCAGTGCACCTGCTCAGGCAAAATGGGTGAAGAGACTCCACCTAGACCAAGAAGGCGGTTCTTCCTGGGCAGCTCCCCCCATCACTGGCCACAGAAGACACACAGGGAGGAATCTGTCTCCTACAAGATTCCAGTAGTACCCCAAGGTCTGGAGGGAGACATCCAAGTCGGAGCACTGAGCTCAGGGTGAGGCGGTGCTGAAGGAGGACTTGGACTCAGGCTAAGCACTCCAGGCTCCAGGGGAGAGGGAGGAGCCCCCAACAGGAAGGCTTCACCAGCAGGCTGCCCCCCCCCAAATTCCTGGGAGGACCCCAAAGGCAAAAGGTGAAATTCAAAATGAGGAGAGTGAGTGCCCTGTGTTTTGAAACAACCCATTAAACAAACAGTTATCCAGGGGCCATAACAGCCAGGCACTGACCTTGGCACTGGGCATAAAGAGGGGATCAGGACAGACCTGCTCGCTGCTCTCATGAGCTTATATTCTACTGAAGGAGACAGAAAACACACAAGGAAACAAAGAAATAACCAAGATAACTGCAGAAAACCAGAAAATGAAGGACACCAGAATATGGTCCTGGGATAAAGCAGCTTGGGAAGAGGGGGTTCCTTTGGACAGACTGAGGAGGGCGGGCCCCTCACAGGCGGGACCTGAATGAGGAAATGGAGCCAGTCATGAGAAGAGGGGAAGGCATCAAAGCAGAGGGCCAAGGAAGTGCAAAGGCACTAAGGCAGGAGGAGGTTTGGCAAGTGGGAGGAAAGTAAAGATGGGTGGAGGTGAACGTTGCAAGGCTGGAGAAGATGGCAGGGACCGGATGGTTTCCACCCTCCTAAGTTACTGGAAGGAGTTTGATTTGGTTTTACTTGCAACGGGAAGCCATTAGTTCTAAGTGGAGGAGTGACTTGATCTAAATTATGTCTTTAAAAGATGATCCTCGGTGTGTGGGAGAATGGTTGTAGGAAGAACAGAAGCGAGGAAACCGTGGGAAGAGGTGCAGGGTAATCTTTCCTGACTTAAGGTGGAGGGCTCCCCTTGGGCAACGCGCTCCCACTGGTTTCATGCGGGGCGTTGGAAGGTGGCCCCCTCACACCATCCCGGCAGGAACAGGTGTCAGGTGTGCTGAGGTTGCCCTCCGCAGGGGGCTGATGCAGGAGTCTAGGCAAGCAATGACGGCAGCTTGGACTAGAGCGGTGGCTGTTGAGATGGCGAGAAGCGGATGGACCCAGAACTCGCTGACAGACTGACTGCAAGGGAGGGATTGAGAGAGTCGAAGAAGCATCCTGTGTGATGGGCCTGCACGAGCCCAGCTGCTGGACCAAGATCCAGGAGTCCGTGATTGGTCCTCTCTGCTCAGTGTCTCTGGAGAAGGTGGCCTTTGAATCTGCCACCATTCCAGTGTCACTGCAGGTTGTATGAGTGCCAGAAGCTTATGGAAGAAGAGCAGCAGTTGAGGAGGATCCTCCAGCTGGGACATCTGGTACAGAGAAGCCTTTAGACCCCCAGGGGCAGGCGGAGGGGCTGGAGACTTGCTAAGAGGAATGGAGCTGAGCAGGCTCCAGTGGTGGGGTTCTGACCGCCCTTCCTTCCTGTTGGTAAACCAGGCAAATCTCCAACCATCAGCTTGGAGGGCTGCCCGGGGATGCTGGCAGAGCCTCAAGAGGTTCTGGACTTGGCTGGAGATCCCTGCCCAGAGAGGCACCATGGAAGGTCCTATGGGACCCCCACCCACCATGGAGCCATTGCTTCAGTGTGTGGCCTAGAGCTAAGGGACCAAGCCCAGGAGGAAAGTCCAGGGGAAAAATCCACTGGTCACCATTGGGCAGTGGCTTCCTGAAGACCTGCTCCAGGGACAATGGCATAGTACCTACCCCTGGGATGGACGGAGGCCACAGATCAATGAGTTGGTTTTCCCATGGGAAGTGAGGTCTGCCCCAGACGTCCTCAGAGGGAAGCCAGAGCTTGACTGCCCTGGGGAGCAGCTGCCTTGGACAGCTTCCTCGAGTCTGTAAGCTGCTGAAAACCAAGAGCCCAAACAGTAACACGATCCCCATGTGCGTCCTCCCTGGAAATCTGTCCTGGGGAGGCCCTGGGCACCGGTATCTGGTGTTCCAGAAAAGCAGGGCAGAGAGCACACAACCCTGATACCTCCCAGGGACGAGGCCTAGCAGGAGCCAAGCAGGCTGCACACCCACACTGGCCACCTCTGTAGGCCACAGCCCCCAAGATTTCAACAGGACTCATGTAGCAGCAGCCTGGACCCCAGAAGTGAAGCAGGTCCCCACCAGGGGTGGGCTTTCCTCTGGCTGACGGTGAGAACATCCCATTCGTTTATTCAACCAATACGGTCTTCACTGAGTCCTGCGTTGGGGTCAGAGTGGTTAATGAGACCCACAAGGGGCCTGTCTTCCCAAAGCTTCTGCCCAGACATTGGAGGGAGCCACAAGCTTCATGCCAGCACCCCCAGCTCAGCACCACTGGGACCGGAGTAACAGGCACAGCCGAAGCTCTTGCTCTCATCAGGGAGGCAGAAGAACTTCTAAAAATACATGGAAGGCCATGCTAAGTGAGTCAGGACAAGCTTGTCGGAAAAGATGAAGCAGAAATGAGCACAAAGGAGTCCGAAGCAAATGCGGCTCTTGAACTGCACCTAGGACGGATGGGGCAGGGGAGGAGTCAGCCAGCCGTGGGGCGGGGTGGGCAACCACGCACTCATTCATTCGTTCAGCAACTCTGCCTGAGCTCCCAGGCCCTGCCCTCGCCAGGAAGCAGAGGGGCAAGGAGGCAATCACAACACGGGGCGTGGGAGTGATCCCACCGCCCGGCTGCCTCTGGGGTCCAGAGAAGCTTCCCAGAAGAAGCAGCATTTCATTGGGCCTTGAGGAATGAGCGGCACAGGCTGGGGTTACCTGGTGAAGGGTAGTGGGGAGGGGGCGCTCAGGTCCCTGGGGGGTACACCAGGCTGAAGGGCGCCCACCCACCTGCCACCCTGACCTCTCTTTCTTTTGCTTGCAGCCCATGACACTGGTCTTGTGACCCTACAAGTTGCCTTCAACAACCAGATCATCTCCAACTCAGTGGTGTTTGAGTACAAAGCTCGGGCCCTTCCCACGCTCCCTTCCTCCCAGCATGATTGGCTGTCATTGGACGGTAAGAATGGCGCTCACGTCACCTTGCCAGGCACTGTGGGAGAGGGAACTTGGGGACTCTCTGCACAAGGTGCAAAAAAGAGGAAGCATCCGGGTTCCCTTGCTCCTGGGCAGGGAGGGGCGCAAGTCTTGCCCCAGGAGGCCTGGCCTGGTCTCCACCATCAGGCTGCATGTGTCTCTGCCCTTAATCTCAGTCTCTCCCTGGGACAGAACGAAGTATTTGAGCTTGGGCCTGTGGCTGTCCCTCCTGCTGGGAGCCTGAGGGGCCAGACAAGCCCCCAAGTTGCTGAGAGGCTCCTCTCTCTACAGACCCGGAGTAGCAGGGCCCAAGCATCCTCTGCTTCCCCCTCAGAGCTGTCTCTAGGGTGTCCTCGAAGCAGAGAGAGCTCCTGGAGGCCATCACCAAGCCCCAAGCCACTTAGGGAAGAAAGCAATTTGTGAAGCTGGAGGGAGGCAGCTCAGGCTGCGCTTCTCTCAGATCCCAGGGCCTGGACTGCGGGGCCATGTGTTGAGTGCTTCTGCCTCTTAGGGATAACAAGCCAAAACTTCTCGTGGAAGCCCTCAAACACCCATCGCCTCCTGTTCCTAGGCTGTTTATACTTAAGCCTCTGTCCTGTCAGGTATCCGAAACAAGCCCAGGATCATGATCGTGGCTAAGGGTGGAGGACCAGGGAACCCCATTAGGCTCCAAGGAAGGAGGCAGGACCCGCTAGCCAAGGTGGGGCAGGGGCTCAGAGAGCTGCTGACCCTGCCCATGGGGTTGGTGAGTGTTGGCTGCTCCTCCTAAGGCACCAGAGACTCTTCAGAGAAAAGCTATCAAAGACAGTGAGGGACACCAAGGTCAGAGGCTGCCCTTCCAGGCATGGACCTGCCAAGGGGAAGCGCCAGAGTTAGCCTGGGGAGCTGAAGTGATAGTCTGCTCATTGCGTAGGGACAGAGTGGGAGGGATGGCTGCACATGACCTCAGTATCAGGGCAGCCTGCTGAGGGACCAGTCTGTGGGATACCTCACTAGAGACCTCACCAGCCTAAGGGGTTGGGGTCTTGGCTAAGCTGCCCTGGGCCCTCCTGGGGTGGGGGTGGGGGGCTCAGTTTCTTAAGCATCCCTCCCCCATCCACCGCAGCCCTTTGGCCTTCTCACCTCTCACACTTCCCCTTGCTGCTGGCTGCTGGAGGATTTCTGGGCTTGGGTCCATGCCCTGGGCAGCTTTCCTGAGCCACCCAGTATGCAAACATCAGCCTTGTCCCAGCCACGGCCCCAGCAGTGACAGGGTACCTGGCAGCCACCCTGGCCACTGAACCCTGTGAGCTGTTCCCAGAGGTGGCTTTGGGTCAGCAGACATCTGCACCCTGGCAGTGGCTGCCTGGGAGCACCGGGCTGGCCTTGGCAGCATCCCTGGCCATGGCCAGAGCCAGCCGGAGCTGTGATGACGACCTGCAGGATGTAACAGAGAAGGGCAGGGTGACCAGGGGCTCCTGTTCAGGAAATCCGGTTTCAGTTTTGCAGAACAAATAGGAAATGGGGCAGGGAACTCTGCAGAGCCCTGGATCTCCCTGAGTGACCAGGTCACCTCACCAGGGTGGACTGAAGGATGCTGGGGCCAGGGTAGGACCTGCTTGGGTGATGGGGCCTTTCAGAGAGCCAAGTATCAGCCAGGCAGTGCCTCAGAGCACAGAAAACATCAGCCAGCCCCCTGGAAGCCCAGAGAGCAAGCAGTACCAAGAAGTTGCTGGCAAGGGAGGATGCTGTGATGGAGACCATGGGGAGGGACAGCCACCTTAACTGCTTCATAACAAACACACCGCTGAGTCCTCAGCCATGCCAGGCCCCTCCGGCAATAGGCCTTCTGGCAAGCTGACACCTGCTCCCCATCAGCCCCCTCCCCAGGGACTTGGAGCCCTGACCTCCATAGGCCTCCATTTGAAATAAGCATCCCCAGCCCCTGGCAAAATATACAGGAGAGATGACAGGAGTTGGGGAGGGGACATGGCAGGGCCACCCCCCTACAGAGAGCCGATTGGGGCCCTGAAGGACCCCATGCATCCCCCTCCCTTTGGTCTTGGCCAAGTGTCCTTTCAAGTAATGGGAGGGGAAGGGTGGCAGGGGCAGCGGAACTGTGAGACCCCACCTGGCCAGGAGAGGAGTGAAACTCCCCTCCTTGTTCTTTTTTCCCTAAATGAGTACAAGTTCTTATCCACCCAAAGATCATTTTCCCAGCCTTTCGCCAGCCTGATAAATAATAACAGTGGGGGAGGGCAGAGCAGATCCGCAGCCGCAGTGCCACCGGCATACTCTGCCCAGTGCAAAGGGGACAGCTGGGACAGCCTGGAGGGTGGGAGTCCCCAGGCCTCCGGCCAACCCCTTGGCCTGGCAGTGAACTGTGTGTCCAGGAAGATGCTGCAGTGGGGGAGCTGTCGGAAGCCTTGCTCTCCTCTCCCGTCGCGTCTCTGCGGCTGCTTTTCTCAGCCCCTCCCGCCCCCACAGTTACTGGGCAAATTCTCAATTAAGCTGCTGGGAGGTGGAGTCGTGCGTGCTGCGGCGGGGGAGGAGTGGTGGTGGAAAGAGGAGGGGGCGAGGGGACTGCAGCGCCGAGCAAACTGGGGCACGGCGGCCGGCCGACGCGCGTGCACACACGCGCACACACACGCACGCATGCACGCCCGTCCGCCCGGCGCAGCTGCAATGCAGGGGCCTTCGCGCACCGGCTGGCCGCGCTGCGCCCGGCGCCCGCCCGGACTGCGGCAAGGCACCGCGCGGTGGAAGGGCCGGGCCTTTCCCCGCCGCTGGGGGAGAACCGTGATGTGCAGGGAGAGCTGCGCGCTCGCGTGCCGGCGGCCGACGCGACCGGGGGCAGTTGTTTCGCTCCATCCGTCGCCCTGCTGTCAATCCTGCGAGAGCTCTTTGCCCCCTCCTCCCATCCCAGAGGAGAAGAAATGTTTTGGGAAGAGAATTTCTGCCTTCATTTGATTTTAAAAATGGATTTGTTTGCCAAACTAAAAGCTGGGTGGGGGACGCCGGCGCGGAGCATAGAGAATCCGCTCGCGCGCGAGCGCGCAGCAGCAGTGGTGGCGGCTGCCTTTGTCCCAGGGTGCAGCCTTTGTCTGAGCAGCCCGGCCCAGTTGGGGGCTGTCGTCCCTGCGGAGGGGCATGGCGCAGGGGCCCCAGGTCCCCCAGTCTCAGACGAGCGCAGCCATCCAGGCGGAGGCAGAGCGTGGAGATAGGGCGAGGAGGGCGAACAGGGAGGAGGGGGCGCTGCCGCCGCCATCCAGCCGGCTCCGGCCAACCTTGGGGAGGGTAGCCTCTGAGGCTTGGAAGCTGCAGCGCCTATCCCAGACCTAGGGGGCTTCCCCTCCCTTCCCCTGACCCCCACTGTGAGTTCTAGGGGGCATAGGCCATGTCTGCCTGGACCCCCACTTCCTAGCACGCGGCTGGCACTTGTAGGTCCAGTACTTATTTGTCTTAGGAATGCATGCGTGAATGAATGAATGAATGAGTGCCCACGGGACACTCAGAAGAGCTTAATCCAGCCCAATGGTCAGGGAGGCTTCAAGGAGAAAGTGACCCTTCTGCTGAGACTTCAGGCCTGAGCAGGCATCAGGCAGGCTAAGAGGGACAGGCAGAGGTATCCCAGGGGGAGGGGCCAGCAAGGGCCTGAAGAGATGGAATGGTGGTTCCCTTAGCCAAGGCACTCCAGGGAGCACCATTTTTTCCCCCGAAAGGTCCAGATTCAGAACAAATTTCCCCAGGCCTGACCCCAGGCCATTTGCACTAGGACCCTTGACTAGTCTGGGGCAGGCCAACTATGCATCTGGGGATTCAGTGGGACCTTTTCCAGGCTAGAGGCAGTCAGGCAGTGGGTTTACCCTGGGGACCATTTGCAGAGGGACTCGGAAATGTCACTTCTGCCTGCTGGGTCCTGTGGATACAGACAGCCAGGGCTGTGCTGCGTGTGGAGAGGATGTGCTGTCTGTTTAGATGGTCTTGCCTGTGCCTGTGTTTGCAAAGAGAATAAATCCAGGCCCTTGACTCTGCGGCTCTGGGGCTGAGGGAGTGGGGCTCACATCGGCCGAGGGCACTGGGATACCTTTAAGTGACCTCTGTCCCTGGAAGAGAAGGTGAGTGGAACTTCTGGGCGCTCCATTCTTTCTCTTGCAGCCATCTGATTCTACCCAGAGCCAGATTGAGAGGACCCGGGGTCCCCCCAGCCCCACCCCCACCCTACTGGTCCCCTTCTCAGAACCCCACTAAGCTGCTTATGCTTAGACTGTATTTTCAATTGCTTCTCAGGCAGCTGAGCCTCCTGCCTGGGTGAGAGGATTGGAGTAAGACATAGATGCAGCTTTCCTAGGCTCAGCCAGCAGGCCACCTGGGCAGGCCTCCTGTTGTCCCTCAGGGGGTGGGGAGGGACCTTGTCATCTCAGGCAGAGGAGGGAACAGGGACGGGAGGTCACACCTCATCATCCAGGTGCCTGCTTCCTGTTAGGAAGCCTCAGTGCAGGGTGGACACCCCAGGCAGCCTGTCCCTCCAGCTCACCAGGGCCAGGAGAGGTTGTCACTGGGGCTCCAGGTTAGCTGTGTGGGAAGACCAAGAGCCTTGCTCCCCTCTAAGGAGGTGGAAAGAAGGAAAAACAAGATTTAGCTTCCCCTTGGCCTTCTGGGATGCCTCTGGATGCTTTCTTCCTCCCATGCTGACTCTCCAGGGCTTTCTGATGGGTGGACCTGTGCCGGCTCCTCCTGGCCTGGTTCCCTCCCTCCTGTAGAAACCCCCCAGCCCACTTCCCATCACCTCCTCTGGGTAATGTGTGATGCTGAACTGTCCACATAGGAGAACATACACAGAGCCAAACAGAAACTGGGAACAATTTCCAAGAGCATCACTTACCAGCTGATGTGGGGGGAGGGGTAATGGTAAGTAATTTCGTTGTAAATAATTTAAAATGTCACTGTTTTACTAACAAATACAGTTTGTTTTATGGAGTAGAGTGCAAAATTCATAAGAGT